AAATACTGTATTGCATTCCTTTGAGCAACCGAGTCACTTCGTGAAGTCTGAGACATACGCACCATGATTTACAGGAAATTTTTCATCTTCTTATACAGACCACCAACTTGTACACTTACCAATGCCAGGGAAAAATAAATACAGTACTTGAACTGTACCAAAAAATTAAATTTAGTGAAGGGGCATTTCCTCTTGGACTGGTAAAACATGCCGGCAGGTTGTCTATGATCACGCCATTGAACACACACACATATGTCCAAAACTGGCTTTCATGATTCTAAAAATGCTTTCATTGGACGTTCATGTGTGTGTGACCCTGCCACACCGGTGGACGGACTTCTATGTGGGCACTTCTATTAAAAGAAAAGTTTGGCATTCATGTATTGAGAATGTATATTGTGTATAAAATAATGTATTGTTGTAACAAGATTCTTAGGCTCACTGCTGAAAAAGTGTTTTATACAAAGCAGACTAATTTTTGATGACATTTTCAACGTTGAGGAGTGGAAAATTTTTTCAAACCAGACTATAATGAATCACTTTTTCTAATGTAAAAAATTAGAAAAAATTAAGGATCTTGAAAAATTTGGCTGGGCATGCATGGTTGGTTTGGGATGGCATGCATCCCAAAAGTTTGGAATGCTTGCAATGTGAATCTCAGCACTTTCTGCATGCATCCCAAACGTTTGGGATGCATGCAATGTGAATCCCCATACTTTCTGCAATGTGAATCCCAGCCATGGATGCATACAATTTTTTTTAATGCTAGGCAGTGCTATACAAAGAAGTACAGTGCTGACTTTCCTTTTTCCTCTATACCCATTCAGGAATTGTCACGACAGAAACTGCATTGAAAAAAGAAAATGAAGTAAAGATTTGGCAGGAAGGTATTTTGAGACATGTGCCCCGGCCTGGTTGAATCACTGTATAACTGTCTTCCTCCACCCCCCAAAAAAGGCAGGACTCAAGGATAGAACTTTTCATCTGGATGCAGGTGAGATTCCCTGCTGTCTAGTTATGCACTTGGGCAAGTTTTAAAAGCACACAGTTCATAATTTTGAATCATTAAAATTCTTGCAGCAGGACAGCAGCTGTCAGTATATAATTGTGATGTCAGCAAACTCATGCCCTGGCTACACTTCTACATGAACCTCAATCCCTTGCCCAACAGTTGGTTGGTTTGCCTCATATTCTGTTGGTTTAACCTCAAACTTGGAGCCTTTGCCATTACCAGATTTTATTACCTTATTTATTCCCGGAAAGCCGTCTGAAATGCTTTTAAATTCCAAGAAACAGTGCAAAAACTATGTGAACTAATTCAAGACATATTCTGAAAATTTACAATAAATTATGGAATTAGAATAAATTTACTTGATTATATCCAAGCAGTATTGCAAGTATCATGTGCCTGTTTTGAAAACTTACAGCATTCATGTTTGGCTGATATTCCTGCACTGTATATCTCTTCCAGCATTTTTGAAAGCAGCCAAAATAGTTTTTATTTGATTCCCACTCAAATTTGTTCACAGAACTTTTCAGAAACTACCTTCAGTTTTTATTTCTTGAATCCTAATTGCACCATGTTCTGTGTTTTGCAGAAGGAGGCAATATACCTGCATGGACCACCTGGACAGAAGATTTCTACTCCATCAGGAAGAAGGGTGTTCATTTGCTGGACATATTGTAATTGCTTCTATGTATTGGCATTTTTTAGTGTTTGAACCATTTTAAAAGTGCTTATTTCTTTAAAGTTTTGAAGATACTTTCTCTATTCATGTGTTGGATGTGGACGAGCCCTTAGTTTTCTGTTAACTCTTTATATCACTTATGTCTATAAAAATAGGAATCATTGCATGACCCATGCAATATTCAAAAATGTTGTGAAGAATTAGAAAGAAACTCCTTGCTTCAATGCTCATATGAAATAACAGTAATGTAGACTTGCTCTGTGATTTTGGTTTCAAAGAAGTGTATGTTCCAATTCATCTTATGTCTGCTCAGTTTTTTATTGCTGTCAATTTCATGAAAAACTTGTCTTGTTGGATTACTTTAAAGAAATGCAAGTAGTTGACAGGATTTTCTCAAGATACAACTAACTGAAGTATGTTTTTTTTCCAGGTGAAGATGTTGGATCTATATAGAAAGAAGACTCATTGCTGGAATCCAGGGCCTGTGCAAATATTTTTTCATGCCTGCAAGAAATGGACTGTACAACTATGTAAGGATTTTTTTTCATTAGTCCCTGCAGGTTTTTCATTTGAAGAATGTTGAACAAACTTTGTTTTAACAAGCTTTTTTTCAATAGTCTCTGTGCAACAAAATTTTTGACTTTATTGTGCATGGACTGTAGAAATTTTTACTTACAGTAACAAAAATCTAAAATATCCAACTTGCACATCATAAAAAAATTTTTATAAAATGAAATGATAATCTCTTTTTTTCAGGAAATTTAGCCTTGCAAGAAGTATGAAGCTTGTTGCTTTTAGTAGAAACTATGTAGCTTTCTTTCAAAATTTAAAAAAGGGTTAATTTTTAAAAATACTGTTGAATGTTGTATGTGATCCTAATTGCACCATGTTCTCTGTTTTGCAGAAGGAAACAAGCCAGCTCCATGGACCCACTGGACAGAAGATACACACTACATCAGAAACAGTGGGGTTCATCATTTACTGCCTGGACGTCTTACAATTTATTGCATGTATTGGCATTTTATTGTGTTTGAGCCATTTTAAAAGTGCTGATTTCTTTAAAGTTTTGGAAAATATTATCTTTGTTCATGTGTTGGAGGCAGAGCTCTTATAGTTTCTTTAAACTCTTTATATCATTCATTTCCATAAATATTGGAATCCTTTAATGATCTAGTATTAAAAAAATGTTGTGAAGAATTGTAAACAGACTTCTGCTTCAATGCTCATTAAAAATAACAGTAATGTAGACTTGCTCTGTGATTTCAGTTTCAAAGAAGTGTATGTTCCAATTTATCTTGTGTCTGCTCAGTTTTTTATTGCTGTCAATTTCATGAAAAACCTGTCTTGTTGGAATGTATTTACTTCTGTTTGTAAATAAATTCTACTTTTGAGGAAATTTTGAACTTTTTACATTTATTTGGGGAGGCAATAATGAAGGGCATGATGAACATGGGCTGCCCATGATCAGGGGGCATGTGCTAACCAATGATGACTAGGTGATGATCATGGCTGTAGCACATCCATGGGAAGGCCATGTTCATCATGCCCTTGGTCATGGCATGAGGGCTTTCTGTAAGGGTGTGATCATCATGCCCTCCTCCCAAAATTCTATCTCTAGTATTAGGCACTAGTGGGTCTAATAAATTCAGATTTATCTCTGAAAAGCTTTATTTTGAACAGCTCAATAGAAAAAAAATTCCCCCTCTCAATTCACTTATCAGTGCTACCAGGCAAAGGCAGGGAAACAAATGAGCCCATCACCACGAACAAACAACATTTGAATGGAGTGTTCTGTTGTCTTGAACACTTCCTCAAAGGTCTCTTTGTCAATTTCCATCGTTGTAATTGTTTCTTCTACATCTCCAAGAATCATATTAAGATGTTGATCATACGCCTGGAGCATGAATAAACCCATCAGTGAAGGCATGTAATGTATTACAGAAGAATTCATGACTAAGGTGCAGTCTTCCGCGGAGCTCCCGATCGTTCCTCATTTTGACGTAAATACGCTCATCACGGCTGAGACGGATCAGATCAAGAGACTCATCAACCGTAGATAACGCGACCTTCAAACACAATCAAAATTGATCATGAACAAATACTGCACAGATTCTACTGATTAATGGCTTACTGGTTCAGCTTCATCGCCCATCCTGTATCAAGTCTCCTTGCTCACCGCATTACAAAAACATGCCACTTCACGAAACACAGTGCTTGAATGTTGAATAAATCACTGACATAAACAGGAACCCACTCTAGTCTTGAGTACAGTTTACAATTGAACGTACAGTTCAATCATTGATGGGTGAATATACAATCCCAGCAACACAAATAATGACATGTAATATCAATCATTTTTTGGGGTGTCTGATCAATGTGACCTTCATTGGTTTTCTAATGCCCGCACTACAGCTAGGTGCACTCCTCACTAAAATTGTTCCAACTCAGAAGTTATCCACACATTTCATTGGCTATCTAAAAATAATCTTCAGCATACAAGTTTTAAAAGAGCAATGAGTGCAGTGTGAGTCCTACACCGTTTCTTCCCAAAACAGCCAGGCTCCACTTTCTGAAGTTGCTGAAGCATGCGCACAAGAGAGGGACTGCAGCTGCATGGGGAGTGAGGAAGGGGGAAGGGGGAGCAGCGTAAATTTGGCAGCTCATGTGTGAGCTCCGGCGAGAAGTCCACTCACACATGCTTGCCACACTCATACCAGTCCATGGACCACTTGTTGGGGAACATTGGTGCTATGTCCTGTACTGTATTGTGGGTGTGTGCATGCATCTGATGTTTTCCTTTTTGTCACAATTTCCGAAAGGAGGCATGGTAAATGCATCATTCCGTGTAGAGTGAGTCGCCGATGTTTAGGACAGCTGAACTGAGCCAATTCCAAGTTTCCAAACTGATCGAGTGTACTGTACTCGCGATGTAACCCCTGCTACCACGTTCTGCTGCACGCATGTGAGCGTAGTCTACGCGAGCGATGTGACACGCGAATACGTTAAACGTGTTGTGACTGCGGATTTTCCCATTTTGTCTGCCTGTGCAACTTGCTTGTGTTCTACTTAGGCAAAGAAATGTTTCGGAACGAATCAAAGGCACTGGGAAAGCAAATATTACAAAAGAGACGGAATAGAGCGATAGAATTGCGACCGTCTTTGGAGTGTTTTTTGAACAGTGGAGTACGACCAGAGTGAGGCTTGAGGAATGAACTGATTGATTGGTTAATTACTGACGGCCTTGACTTATTCGACGCGCACAGGAAGTGGATTGACGCCGTATGTACGAATGAGTGAACGGGCAAAGATGAGTCTGTCCTCGTCTTCTGGGTGTCCGGCGTGCGCAGGGCGCTTCCCGTTTTTCAAATGGAAGGTGGGTCGTCGGCTGATGCTGGTGGGGGAAAAGGGATTCCTCTCTTGTCCCGTTGTTGGTATTGAACTGTTTCTCTCTCCCTCGGGCAGCGGCACAGTTGTTGGCATTGCAAAGTAGACTTCTGCGACGGATGTTTAGTGAAAGAGGGGAAGCTGAGGTGGTGCGAAGCCTGTCGCGTTTTGGTGAGGACACCGCACAACCGCGCCGCCGTCCAGCGCCTGCCTGTCCACTGCCTTCGTGCCTTCCTGGAGAGAAAGCACGTGTCGACGAGAGGCTGTGCGGGTACGTGTTTATCCCTCGTCGCAGTTCACTCGATCCTTCACTTTTTCCGTGTGATTGTGTTTGTGATGTCACAGAAAAGAAAGAGCTGGTTGACTTAATCTACAATCATTTCGGTCAACGGTACGAGCATGAGTTGAGGAGCGACGGCATCCGGGTCTACGCTGCGGATGCCGTCGTAGCAGACGAGCAGGTCTCTGGTGACGATGACAATTCCCCCTCCATCGATGGAAACACAATGAACGACTGCTTTGCGTTGCCCAGGTGATGACGGGCAGGGCATTTGATCATCCGTTTCTTCCACTTTGAAAGCTTTCTGTGTGTGAATTCCAGTGACGTCGCAAACCCCGTCACGGAGACCGGATTGGATGCAACTGCGGTGTCGGCACTCGTACGCACCGACTCTGCGGCGAACCCGGACTCGACAAGCTTGAGTGAAAGTAGGCGATTAAGACGGTTTCCGTCAGTCTCGGATTTGGAGACGGAGGAAGATGTTGGGGGTCTGTCGGTGCGGGAGTGTAAAGAACTGCTGGCGCTGTATCGGGTGGACTTCCGTGGTGCGTGTGAAAAGTTCGAACTGGTAGAGCGAGTGCGGGAGTTGTGGCGAGATCGGCAAGCAGCCAAAGCTGGTACTGTAACTGAATCTTTCAGTCGGCCGACTGTAATCGGAAGAACCTGTTTCTTTTCATTTTATTTTCTACCTTTATTTGCAGAAGCTGACCAGTTGGCGGAGGAGGACTTGTGCAAAGTCTGCATGGATGCAAGGATTGACTGCGTGCTGCTCGAGTGTGGTCACATGACCACGTGCACGCTGTGCGGCAAGAAGATGAACGAGTGCCCCATTTGTCGTCAATTTGTCATCCGCGCCGTGCACGTGTTTCGGCCCTAGAAAGATGTGATGATCTGCGGCTGAAACGAGTGAAACGAATGCTAGAGGTCGTGGGTGGTGGTTCTAGCACCTCTCGCATTATTATCATTATTTACGTCGCATGTACGCAACTTTCCTTTTGCCATTTGGTTAATGGTTGATGAAGCTTTACTTCTGCCAGCGTCGCGTTACCTAATCGCTGCACAGTATCATCTCGTTTTTTCCTTCTTCTCCCTCGAGTTCAAGAGTGTTGGCGAGACAACCTGACGAAGGTTTGTGCATTACGGCATTCTGGTACTTGCTGGAAGGTGTTGAGAACACTGGATGGGACGAGATTGTTTACTTTTACGTCTGCTTGCTCTGTGTCTGTGATGCGTGACGGGACACATACATTTCCGTGAAGTGGCTCAGGGCAAGTCTTGCGGGGTTTTGTCTGCCGGTAATGAAGGGGTTCGTCTCATATTTGTTTTAACGAGACGGACAAAATACAGTGCAGAGAAGAGTTTTTCAAGTTTTACTTACCCACTTTAGTTCGACGCCGTAAGAGTGTCATGACCTTGATTTTATTTCATTATTTTTCGTGTGTTTCATGAGGCAGGTGTCGATAATAGTGAGTGGCACGTGTACCGAGCCAAACATGAGTCCCCGATTCACGTGCGTCAATTGTTTGGAGGACATGAAGGTGGCTCGGCACGTACTGTGTGCCGAATGTCCAGAGCATCACCTGTGTATTCCAGTGAGTTGGTTCGAGTTGAGGGAGTCGATGGAGAGTAATGATCGACTGTCGTCTTTATTTCCAGTGTTTCATTCACGGAGCTGAGCCGGGGAAGCACAAAAACACCCATGCTTACCGCGTGATTGTGAGTGAGGTTTTTATTGGAAGTCAAGGTCAAGGTTGGTAAGACTATGTATGTTGTGGCTCATTCAACAGGATGATGGGATGTTGCCGGTGTTTGAGGCACCATGTGCGCGGGAGACTGCAGCCGAAGGAGAAGAAGAGGATAGGACAGACTGGATGGGCTGGGAAGAGATCCGTCTTCTCAAGGCCATGGAGCAGTATCAGTATGGCAACTGGAAGGACGTGGCGGCCGTGCTGCAGACGCGCTCGCCGGAAGGTGAGACTACTGCTGGAGACCTGCCCTGTTTTCAAGCTGTGAATTTTTTTTTTCTTCATTTTTTTGCAGAATGCGAGGCTCACTATGTGCATTGTTACATAAATGGCAATCTTGGCACAGCTACTTGGGGGGTTGTGCGCGAAGCTTGCTCGGACCTCGGTGTTGTTGACCACACTGCCCCGTCCACCGAGGTTGTGATGGACGAAAGTGACATGACGGCCTTGCCACTGGCTACCATCAACGATCAGGATGCCTTGGCGCTTGGCTTTCTCAGACGGCGACAGGACTTTGAATTGGTAATTCATTTTCCGCTTCAAAATGTACTCGAGTCCAATTTAATTCTCGCTTCTTTTGTTTGTATTACGTTCTCGATGCAGGAGTACAACAACGATGCGGAGAAGCTGATTTCAAACTTGCAGTTTGATCCAATGGACGACGACTTGGAAAAGCGTGAGTTGCTTGAGTGTCGCAAGATAGTCGCCAGTGATGTGATCCATGTGGCTCCCTCATTCATGCTACGCAGAATTGAAGCTGGTCAAGGTGGACATGTATTACAGGCAACTGGTTGAGCGCAACACTAGGAAGCGCGTGGCTCTTGAATACCGACTAGTGGAAAGTTTTTGCGCCAAAAACCCATCCAAGATTGGAATGGGGCCAAGTATGACGCCAGCTTCGGCACCAACTGCGAACAGTGCGGGTGCACAATTCTCGTCGAAATCCCTGCAGCCACTCAAGAAAAAGTGGCTCCTCAAGGAAGGGTGAGTTATTGCGGTTTTTTCTCTTCTTTTTCAGAGAATTAGGCAATAACAAACAAATGTATTACTCTTAGGGAAAATGCCAAGAAGCTGAGGCCGCTTTCACGGCTGCTCACTGCGAAGCTCATGGACATTCTCCTGCCATCGTTACTCCGTGAGTAGGGCGTGAAATGATGTGCAGAGCCGTCATCCGCACACTTTGTACTCTTGCGTTTGTAGAGGAGGAGATCCTGCGCTGTCGAATGCAAGAAGTGGCCAAGTATAGAGCCCTTGGATTCCGCACGTTTGACGAGTGCTATGGGTTCGAAGCGGATAGCTTGCGGGCCACAAGGAAACGGTCGGCGTCGGTTAGTGAACAGCAGGCGCCAGCCCGGTTGCTGGGTCGCGGGCCGCCCGCTTCCGCCTCCAAAGCAGATGGACAGATTTGCACGAGTGCTGCAACCCTCTCGCCCCTGTCGTCCCCATCATCCTCGCCACCGCCGGCGCAGCTCCATCATGCCAGCAAGCGAAAAGTGAGTCGTGATTTGGGTTACAATTTTCAGTTGTAAGCTTGTTACGGTAATAATACTGTACCCACGATCACTCGCTTTGCTTTATTCAGAAGTTCATGGTGGACGGTGGGAAACATTTGCGCAATATATGCTTCGATGTGCCGAAGGAGGAGAGCATGGTAGCTGCGGGAGCGGGCAAGTTGTCTCCTTCAGTGAGTTTGTTTGTTATTATAATTTCCTCTGTGATTCATCGTTTTCAGAAGACGTGTGTGTCTTGAAAATCCACGAGGGAGGAGAAGTGCAGCGTAAATTCTTATAATAATTTTTTTTTTTTTAAGGAGACTAGAACGGCGCGTTGTTGTTGGTACAGTCAAACCCCGTTAAACCGCCCCCCGATAAACCGCCACCCTCACCTCCCGCCATATTTTTACCCCAAACAAATCTCCCCAATGTTAAAAGGATGGGGAAACCTCGATAGACCGCCATCCGCCAACAATTTTCTGGCCTCAAATAGGCACTTGCCCTTGTTTTTTTACCCCTTTAAACCGCCAATTTGGAGAGAGATTCAATTTTAAAATATGAACAGAATGCAATGGCTGAAGAATCAATTACGAATGGATACGAATTACGAATTTGCTACAAAATTAAGCAAGAACACTAATAAAAATGCACAAGAACTCATATATTAATGTAAAGGTATTCTTCTTATATCCATCATGCGTTTTCTTAACTTTTTTTGTCCTGTAGTAATTTTGTAGTGAACCAGTACCCTCGATAGACTGCCACCCTCGTTAAACCGCCAAAATCTTGCTGCATAGATGTTGGCGGTTTAACGGGGTTTGACTTATGTTGGTTCGGTTTAAAATGATGGTGCCCCTGCCGCGCGGCGTAGTTCCGGATATCTTTTTTCGCTGCAGCTGTAAATTTTCCACACCGGACTCGCCGTCTGATTGTAGCTCATCCTCCATGTGATACTCTTTGTTGAGGTTGGCAGTTCTGGTGGGAATGAGCGTACAACGCATGATCATTACAAAATATTCTTCAGAAAGGAACAGGAGGAAACTAGGTATTGATTGAGTAACGGTTACTGCACACGTGTGTGAACTCTCAGCCGACGGTCGTTGTTTGAACGAAAACAGAAAGGGAAAGGAAGAAGGAGGGGGACAACGTGTGTGTGTAACCTGTCATGAGAGTGTGGTAGATGGGGTGTGAGACGTGAACATGATGTGCAGGAAGCTGTTGCCAATGGACGACACGTCCTCTTCAGTCAAAGGGGTCCGTGTCGCGGGCTACGACCCTCTTTTCGCTCTTGTCAAGTACTTAGTAAAGCAGGGCGTTGTCGGGCAAATGTGGTATGTAGTGAATAGGAAGAAATTAGCCTGTGTCATTAATTCTGCGTGAAGCTTTTCTGTCTCTGCTCAAAAACATTCATTATTCTTTTTTTTTTTTCCTCTTTTGCTCGTTCCCTGAATTTCAGGAAGCAGCTGGAGGCCGGAAAGCAATTGCCAGCAAGCAGCCGCAGCTGATGAGGAGGCCGAAGCGGGGGGCCACTTGATTTGGTTTTCCGCTGTACGAAAACACGTGTGAATACTATGTGTGTGTGTGTGTGTGTGTGGTTGACAGTACGTGCGAGTGAAATAAAACAATGTGTTCATTTGGTCTCCGCTTGTTTCTTTCCGTGCGACGTCCATCCGCGTTGCTTGGAGATGGCCCTGATAATGACTCGATTGTTGCCAGGTGATGGGGGCGGACGAAACAGGGATGATTGCGAGTGTCGCCGGCGAAATTAAAGGTTGTTCGTGGGACTTCCAAGCGGCGTACCTGCGTTTCTTGGATGCACGAATTAGTGCAGGGACATCTGCCAGTGCGGACAGTCGGCGACGAACGAGATCGACGAGGCAGCCGTGCTCTCTTCGCGGGGGACAAGGCAGCAGCCTTGTGCGATTCTGCGTGTATCCCAGACCCTGTGTAGCCAAGTCGGCGACCGGCCGAGCAAAACAGGTTGGCAGCGGCGGCCGCGGGAGGAGTACGTCTACGGCCACCCAAAAATGCCAGGAAATGGTAATCGCCTCCTACTTGTGGTGTAATTCCTGTACCAGTGGCATCTTTCGAGTGTCGATCCGCAGATTTTAGCAGATGCATCGCCCAAATTTCCTGGTTTTTGAAGGACCTCTTTCTCTCTCGATGCCATATCCTTGCTGGTTCCCATCTTGCGAAATGTGTCGACAGTATTCATTTTTTGCAGCGGTTATCTGCAGACATTTCTAGCACAAAATCATTGAATTGGTTTCATGTCTTGACGTAGGGGACCATTAATTTGGGGCGTCTTCCAGTGAATGGGTATCGGAGGGACGTGTAAATGTGGATTTGAAGAGTTCCGTTGATTTCGAATTATTTCCTCCCCGTTGGGCAGATGCCCGTGCTTGGCAAAGAGAGCCGAAATGATCTCGTTAGAGGACTCGTGAATGATGGCGGCGACGATCTAAGAGAGTTGAAGGAGGCTGGAAGAGATAATGATGAAGAATCGTGCTGGGTGTCCAAAGTTGTTGGCGATTCCCATTTGTTGTGGATGCCGCGGCTCGTGAAGCCGGCGTCGTCTGTGGCCCGGTTGACGTGGTCGAATGCGAGCTACAATGCGGCGATTGAGTGCGCTGCCCTGCGTCGAGCCATGCTGCAGGGTTGAGAGAACTCTCGCGTTCTCTCTTTCTTCATGTTCGTGTGCGTGCTCGCTTTCAGAGCATGGTGCACTCGTGATGTCTTCTTGTCTGCGCGTGTGATGTGTATCACTGTTCAGTATTGCGTTCATCTTTGTAACGGTGCGACCCCAATGTTTCCATTTCAATTACAGAGGGGTATTGATTGATTGAAGCGTGAGTGACGGGAACTGAGCCAAATCGCACTGGAAAGAATGGCGTGCCATAATTCGCGGCTGAAGTCGCATGAAGCAAAAACAAAGTGACGCCTGTATACGGTTAGCCTAACTGGCTAAGTTGATATATAGAGAAAAAATACAAGGAGCATTTGCGTTTCGGTGCGTTTCTCATCGTCGTCGGTCGGTGTGTGTGTCTGTTCGTTCTTTGCGTAGTCACGTGGGGGGTGGGATTCATTTATCCGAAATGTGGTCGCTCTTGCGGCCTTCGGTGGTGTTGGCCCGGAGGTGGAGCAGTAAGCAGCAGATAGAAAGCACTTGTGCCTTGACGCCGCTGCAGCATTGGCGATCCGCCAGGCGTGGTCACCCAGTGAACGGCAGCTGCAGTGCTGAGGAGAACAGCGAGGTGCTGGGCTTTTTACGCGCCGCCAAGATCCGGCTGCAAGCGAGCCAGGTTCGTGTCCAAGCCCGCACGTTGCTTTTGCTGCTAAGACGGCGGAAAGACGCACTAGGTGACGCGCTGAGGTCCACGATCCAAAATCGCCACCCCCACCACAGACCCAGGATCGCAGTCGTCTTGGTGTGTTTCCCCTCTTCGTTTGAGTTCTTCGGTTGTTTTTTTTTTTCATTTTCTTCCTTTTACCCCTCATTTCAATTGTTCGTGTGTATTCCATCTTTCTGAATTGACAGAGAGAAAACATTTGGACGCTGCCTAATGTGTTGTGTTGGAGCCGGATTGCTGCGGCGCCCTACTTGGGCCACTTGATCGTGCAGCATGACTACACGCCGGCCCTATGGCTCTTTCTCCTTGCCGGCCTTTCGGACGTGGTGAATAGGCGCATTCGTGTGTTTCTTTCCGAGCGAGAGGGCGGAATGATGTGGAGTAATGAAGGGGCTTTGCTCGTTGTAGGCGGACGGGTTGATCGCTCGGTCCTTCCCGGGCCAGAAAACACAGTTTGGAAGCTTTCTGGACCCAGCGGCGGACAAAGTTCTGGCTGCCTGTACGTTCCTCCCCCTGGCTATCGTTGGTCTCATTCCCTGTGAGTATTGCAAACACGCGTCCGTGTGTGTGCGAAAGTTTTTATTCTGAGGGGATTCCTCCGGTTGCGTTTTTGGAGAAGAATAAAGAAAAAGAAAGGCTGATCATGAGGATGATGATGGACGTTGGGGTAATGAAATTGTGTGTTTCTCCGTGTTGCAAAGGGTATTTAGCGCTTGTGATCCTCGGCCGGGACGCGTGTCTCGTGGCGGCGGCAGTGTACGTGCGCTACAAGTCCCTACCGTCTCCGGTATGTTTGCATGTGTATCAGATAGTCTGGTGTACGCTGTTTCTTCATGCATGCATGCATTCATTCATTGCGGTTTCATTTTATTTTTGCACCTGCGGCTGCAGGTCACGCTGGTGCGGTTTTTTGAGGCGTCGCGCGTGACGGCGCAGCTGAAACCCACATACCTGAGTAAGGCCAACACGGGAATTCAGGTTTCACTCGTCATTGCCACTTTGTTGGCCCACTCGTCTATGGTCGTGTCTTTGCATGACTATTTGCCTCATTTTTGGTACGTCTCGTTCGTCCATGGTTTTACAGTATATTTTTTTTAATTGTTATTCATTACTGTTTTGCGGAGTCTTGTGCGATGATTTCTCCTCGTGTTTTGCTTGGATTACCGTAGCTACTTGACCGTGTTGACCACCATGGCGTCTGGCATCGACTACGCATGCCGGTCCAGAAGCACTTACCGAATGCTGTCGTCATCCAAGACTGGAAATGAATGAATAAAAAGTGACAACCTGTGATGCGGGTCCGACCAATCTGCGGAGACTTAGTGTTCGTAGTGACCACAACGATAATGAGATGCGGCGTTCGTTTCTCCGTTTGTTTGAATAAAGTATTGCGAGATTGTCAGTGATGAATTGATGTGATGGGGGGAAACGGTACGATTTTATCGCTTTCCCCCTTGTTTTTCTGCTACAGATTCCTAGGAATATTTGCTGTTGTGCTTTCGAGAGTCTGATCTGTCGGGTGTATCAGCGTCATTGCGCCGCGATGCATGAAAAGAAGGAGGAGCAGGAGGAACTGGGCAGTGGCCAAGAGGTGAAGACTGAAAGCGAGACGGATAAAGCAGTCAAGCGGGAGACAGACATCCTCGACGAAAAGGACGACAAGCAGAATGATCCTGTTTCGATTGCCAAGAGTAGGATTAGAAGCAGAATTGGTCGACCCGAGGCATCCATGAGTTTAATCTTTGACGCTGTATCTTCCTCCTCGTCCTTTTTTTTTTTATGTTGTGGGATTTATGAAAAGGGCGTAGAGGAGATTTGGCTGTAGTGGAGGCCCGAGAGTGCCCGTACTTGGACACCATCAACCGGCACGTGCTGGATTTTGACTTTGAAAAGCTGTGCTCCGTGTCTCTGTCGCGCATAAACGTTTACGCTTGTCTCGTTTGCGGCAAGTACTTTCAGGGTAAGTGAGCGCAGTGTTTGTTTGTTTTCGTGTTCTGATGTCATTTATTGCAGGACGGGGACAGGGCACGCACGCATACACGCACAGCGTAGCCGAGGGTGAGCACCGCATGTTCCTCAATCTGAGCACGCTGAAGTTCTACTGTTTGCCGGACAATTACGAGATTAAAGGTGATCGTAAAGGATGAAATTTTTTTTTATGTCGACGTCGTCTGCATGCATACTGTATACACAGATTCCTCATTGGACGACATCAAGTACGTCCTGAACCCGACGTTCACCAAAGAAGCCATTCAGGCCCTGGACAGGAACGAGAAGTTGTCGCGGTCCGTCGACGGGTCCGTCTACCTGCCGGGCATCGTGGGCCTCAACAACATCAAAGCCAACGACTACTGCAACGTGGTACTGCAAGCCATGTCGCACGTGCAGCCGGTGCGCGATTACTTCCTGCGGGAAGACAACTACGCGGCAGTCAACAAAGTGCCAGGGGACATCCTGCCGACTTTGTCGCAGCGATTTGGCGAGTTGTTGCGGAAGCTATGGAATCCACGCAACTTTAAGGCGCACGTGTCTCCGCACGAGATGTTGCAGGTGAGTGTGTGATAAATGCAGTACACAGAGACAGAGATGAGGTGGCTCTAAATTATTTAATTGGGTTTTAGGCCGTCGTGTTGTGCAGCAAGAAACGGTTCCAGATTACACAGCAAGGCGACGCCGTGGCATTCCTCACGTGGTTTTTGAATGCGCTGCACGCGGCACTGGGAGGCGGTGCAGGCCGGCGACGGCATTCGTCCGTGTTGCATCGGGCATTCCAGGGTAGAATGCGGGTCCACACGCGTCGGGTGCCGCCGCTTGAGCTGGACCAAAAGGCCAAAGACCAGCTGCTGCAGACGGCCGAGTATCAAGGTTGGTGAGAGCTCGTCAAGTTTATTTATTTATTTTACCGCACCACCACCGCCACCCTTTTCATACACGCTCGTGCTGTTTGTTTTGTCCTCTGTAGAGACCAGCGAGGAACAGCCGTTTTTATTCCTCACGGCAGATTTGCCGCCGCCGCCGCTTTTCGCCGACGCCCAGAAGGAGACGATAATCCCTCAGGTCAACTTTTACGCTCTCATGTCCAAGTTCAATGGGAAGACTGAGAAGGAGTATCACACGTACAAGGAAAACTTCATCAAGCGATACGAGCTGGTCCGGTTGCCGCGCTACATCATCATTTGCTACAAGGTGATTTGCCTCGTCTGGCCTTCGTTGTTATACCACATTCTGTACTCATGTCATGTTTTTTTTCTTCAAGAGATTTACCAAGAATAACTTTTTTGTGGAGAAGAATCCAACCATAGTCAACTTTCCCATCACGTAAGTTTTTGAAAAGGAAAGACTCGAATGCATTCCCTTTTTTATTCTGCGGTTTATGATTGTGTGTGTGATGCTTGTTGTGACAGTGGGATGGACTTCGGTGATTTCCTGTCGCCGGAAGCGCGAAAGCTGCATGACACGACAACCTACGACCTGTTGGCCAATATTGTGCACGACGGCGGGCCGCAAGCTGGGACTTACCGAGTCCACATTCTTCACAAGGTGAATGAAACGTGGCGATCTCCTTGGATTGATTTCTCATTCCAGCCCATTCGCGTAAGATTCATTATTTATTGTGTGCATCTGTGTTACGTAGGGAACGGGGAAATGGTACGAGCTTCAAGATCTGCACGTGAAGGATATTCTTCCGCAGATGATCACTCTTACGGAAGCTTACATCCAGGTAGATCTTCTTACATTTCTTGTTCCCATTTCATGTTGTTCTTGGATTCGTTTTTTTCCCCTCTCGGAAAGTACTTTACACGCTTGCATGTGTATTCTGTTCGTTTCCAACAGGTATACGAGAAACAACCAGCTTCCAGTTGAAGTACGCTCGGAAGGCTCTTCAAGATTTTGGTGTGAAATAAAATGTTTTTATTTTACATGTTGATGAATGTACTGCATTCGCCGCAAAAATTGAAAGCTTGGGTTTGTTTTGTCTTTTTGAACGCGCGGTCATTTTCCCTGTCCTTTTTTTTTTCTTTTATCTTATTTTGTCTCAGGTCAGCGGAACGGGTTCCGCAACATTTAAAATAAAAGTGCTCTACTTTGTCTGTGTGGATCGGGGATGATCTGGTGGAAGTTGAGTATTGTGACACACTCTCGCGATGAATTGGTACTATGATATTGACGAGCTCCGGGGACACACGCCGACCATTCTGGAGGGCCACACCTGGAAGGAGGAAGAGCAGTTCCGACGGGAGGGAGCAAAGTTTCTCTTGGATCTCAGTTCAAAAATAGGGCTGGTGTACAGTACTGTTGCGACTGGTGTCGTGTATTTTCACCGATTTTACATGTTCCAGTCCTTCGACAAATTTCCGAAGTTCGTCACGGCCTGCAGCTGTCTTTTCCTTGCCGGAAAGGTTAGATAATCCATTTTTGCTCGCGTGTTAGTAAACTCTCGAGTGTCCCTTTTATGCTTTTTTGTTTTGTTTCCTTTCTCATTTCCCCGTAGGTGGAAGAAACTCCGAAAAAATGCCGAGATCTCATTAGAGCGACGAGGGAGTTGCTCAAGGAAAAACCCGAGTATGAAGCTTCCAGTGCGGAAATCTTGAATGAGTTTGGTTTGCACCCGGAGCGAGAGATTATGACCATGGAGAGGGTTTTGCTACAAACCTTCAAGTTCGACCTTCAAGTAAGCTGGCAGCGCGTGTGAAAAAGTCTACGTGCAGGAAGCCTTTATTTATTTGTTTGCTAAGGTGGATCATCCCTATCAATTTCTGCTCAAGTACGTAAAGACGTTTGCGTCGGATCAGAGTCGTTTGGAAGGCCTGGTGCAAATGGCGTGGACGTTCGTCAATGACAGTCTCGTAACCACTTTGTGTCTACAATGGGAACCGGAAATCCTTGCCGTGGCTATGATTTATCTGGCGGTGAAGTTGAAGAAGATGCAGGTTGGTTTTGTCGCACAAAATTTGCTACGCTCGAAACGGATTGTTCTGGCCGACAGGTGGAGGATAATTGGTGGTCACAGTTCGTGTCAGACGTGTCGCGAGAAACCTTGGACAAGATTTGCCATCTGTTGCTCGACGTTTATCAAACCGTGGGCCACGACAGCAGTGGGGAATCGCGTTCGAACGAATTCCTGGGCGTGCGATTATGACTTTGATGAGGGACTGCGAGATTGCGCATGTGATTATTATTATTTGTTTTTTGATTCGCTTGGAAAATTCAAATGATTTGAGTTATCGAAGTACTGTACTGGCTTTTTCGTAGTTGCGTGGTTGAGCGTTCAGTGCAACCGCTTTTCAAGACATTGCACGCGCGACCCGCCTTGTAGAGTACTTGCAGCTGGCAGCCTTTTCTGGAACAAAGGCTTGCTTTAATACCCCTGGGAAAAGCTCTCCGCCAGCATGAACAGTTTCATTTTCGACTGCGTATTAATTGTTGATCGGTTTTTTAAGGAAAATTTAACTTCTTTTTTGAGATGAGTGTGCAGGATTACGAGCGATGCCTGGGAAATGTGGCATTAGTGTGCACAATCTTGCTTCAACTAACCCCCATGTGAGTACAGTACAGTGCAGTCTTGAGGAAGATTTCGGAAATGAAAAATTGACGGCACTTCGAGGAAGAATTGGGGTTGTCTTGTCCTCCGAAGTTGACAGTGTGTATTTTTAACCTAGTCCAATCGTAATGGATATTGCCAAGAAGCGGAATGTTGGGGGGAACACGTGTGTTCCGTTCTTGTGTTCCATGCTGGGGTCGGCGTTCTGGTTCAAGTACGCGACGCTGATCGGCTACAACCCCACGATGATCATTGTGAACACGATGGCGATTGTCATGAACTCTGGTTACCTTTGGATTTACTACTTGTTCTGCGGACGGAAGGTGTGTGAGATCTTCTGTCATTCGATCTCTTCGTCGTTTCCCGCTTGAGTCTCGGTGGGCTCTCATTCCAGCCGTTGGTTCATCGGTATTTGATGGCGATTTTGGCGCTGATTGCGACCACGTACTGGTACGTGGACTATGTGCTGGAGGATCGGGAAGATGCCAGGTGCAAACTCGGCCTGATTGCCTGTTGTATCTCCGTCCTGTTCACCGCATCTCCTCTGGTGCTCATCGTGAGTCCAATTTTTTTTGTGTTCAGCTAGAGGCAGACCTTTACTTGCTGCTTCGGTGTTTTTGCGGCACAAATGTTGTGCCGCAAAAACAGCATTTGGGACAAGATGGCGTCAGCATCCAAAAATCCCCTTTTGAACATGACTTTCGTGCAACCCTCATCAATACTAATTTTAAATAATTTTTCACTGAATTTTGCAATAAATGAAACCACACATTTGTAGTGGGTAGTAAGTTTGATACGGCATGGTGTTTAAATTCAAATTTTTCCAAGTTTTTCTGAAGATGACTGGCCAAGGCTAATTTTTTTGCGTTGAAAATTATTTTTTCCATTACCTTCCCGATTTATTTGAATTCTCAATTTTGCGGGTCCCTTCTGGCCCGCAAAAAAAAAAAAAAAAAGGAAGGAAAAAAAAAACTTGGGTTTATTCGTCTGCCTAAAACAAAAAAGCATAAAAGGGACACTCGAGAGTTTACTAACACGCGAGCAAAAATGGATTATCTAACCTTTCCGGCAAGGAAAAGACAGCTGCAGGTGATGTGTGGAATATTTTGGTAATTTTGCATTACAGGGTCACGTTATTGAGACTCGGTCGACGGAAGCACTTCCGCTGCTGCTCATTGCTTCCACGTTCTTGGTGTCGGTCTTGTGGCTCCTGTACGGCATGGTTCTCGGCGACACTTTCGTGACGGTGAGTGAAAGACAACGGGCGGGCGGGGGCAGTTGGGATTCGCACTGCTTGAATTCACAGGAATCACCGACTGGGTCATTCATTGCATTGCAGGTGCAGAATGGAATTTCCGTCGTGTTCGGACTAGTGCAGCTGGCCTTGTTTGCCATCTACCCTCGGCGACGGGGCTCGCCGGCGTCTCCGGAAACGGTGACCGTTAAAAAAATCCTCGAGCAGAAGCCGAGGTAACCTCCTTCAATGCTCTTTGTTTTGTTTTTGTTTTCCCTTTTTGGGGTGTTCAGATCCGCGATGGTGAGGACGCGCGTCGCGATTTGACCTCGACCACGAGGCTGCAGCAGTCGGGAAGGAAGGTGCTCGATTCCGTTCTGAGGGAACGCGTCGCCGTCGTCGATCCTCTTCAACTCGGGAGGACTGGGAGGAAATAGAACGGCATGGAAGAGCGTGTTTCATTCCTCTCCGCGATTTGTTTGTTTGTTTGTGCTGTGCTCGGGTGTGGTTTGGTGATGGCGAAATGTTTCGTACTGTACTGTACAAACAAGCCGGCTCGGTGATCTTTTCCTCTTTTCTACTTTCTATAAGTATGCCTAGTTTTTTCAATCGTGAATTTATTTCATACTCGTAAAATGGTTTCCACAGTGCAGTACAATACTGTGCTGTACTCTCCACCAATATTGGCCGAAGTGGACTTGCGCAATACGAAAATGCAGGGCGTTTCTCTAAAGGAGATGGGCCACCCTTTGGGTGGGTGTATGTATGTATGCATGGGTACTGATCTCGAAAGCGTTACTTCTGCGTTTCTCTTGTGATGCCTCCTTTGACTGTGATCATGCAGTACTGTGTTTATACAAAGACGAACAAATGCAGAAACGAGCGCATGGGAAATTGCGTAGCCATTGTGAAACATTGTTGGGAATCGATAGGTCGTCCGGCGCTGGTGATTGATTGGTGATTAGATCAGAATAATATTCCGTCCCGACCTGTTGTGTTCCACATCATTTCGGTACTTTATAAAGCTGTTCTTTTCTTTTCTGCCACAGCTGTCGTTTCATTGGTTTGGCTCACGTTTCTGTAGATAGAGAAATATGGGTGCGGATTTTTTTTATTTGAACTTGGTGGAGAATGTAGCCATGCTTCTGACCATTTGTGTGCAGTTGACCCCACTGCCCACAATCCTTGCAATCGTCATGAATGGATCAACTGAGGATCACAGTCCGTTTTTCTTCTTATGCTCGATGTTGGGGTGAGTTCGTCTCCGCCCCACAAAATTGCGTCGCGTTTTTTCCACGAAGTTCTATCATAATAATTGGTTCATGTGGTAGTGTATTGGTGGAAGACTCTTTAGTCTCCTAACTGTGGGTTTACAAGTTCTTGGCCCGACATTTTCGTATTGAGCAAGGCTATCGCGGAGAAAATCTTGTCGCGATACGGCCCTGGTTTTAAAGGAAAGTCCGTCGCACTTCGCAGGTCCGGCCTGTGGCTCACCTATGGTTTAGTCGCTGGTTTCAGCTCCAGAATGATCACCGTATTGGCCTTGGCGAGTTTCAGTGATGCCATTTACGTGTCGGTCTACTTTTTTTACTGCAAGAAGCAAGTAAGTTTCCCGTCTGCATTCTGATCTGTCCGTCATTTATAGTACTGTATTACAACCACAACCTGTTGTGGCATTTGCAGGAAGAGTTGAAGGGGCAGATTTGCTTGGTAGGAGGCATTTTGATGACGGGCGTGCTTTTCACCAACTTTCTGGGGCTGGATCGAGACACTGTTCTGTTCGCTTTCGGTTTCGTAGTTTGCATTGTGACCGCGTTGCTCACTGCAGCTCCCCTTCTGTTGGTCGTGAGTGAATTCGTCCGAACTGTTCGCAGGTGCATGTACCAGCACAAGGCATCCTCAGACGAAGTCAAGTTTTTTCTTTTCTTCTTCCCATTTGGTGCAGAGAGATGTTTTGCGATTTGGCACTTCTGAGCCGTTGCCGTTGCTGATGATCGTTCTCACGTTTTTAGTGTCACTTGTCTGGCTAGTGTATGGCGTGATGGTTGGAGACAAGTTCATTCAAGTGAGTGTCGCGACAATGTAAATTGTACCATTGTCTGATGAATCTGAGCTGGTTTCTCGCAACTCATTGGCCCATTGCTGATGTTGTAGGTTCAGAATGGAATTTCCGTGTTTCTCGGCCTCGTTCAGCTTCCGTTGCTGGTGTTATTCCCGAGGGGTTCCAGGGTTCTGCTCGTATCGTGGCCTGTAAGTAACATAAGTTCGAAATGCAAATTGAATTCCGGTTCGCAATGCTTTATTTCCCACTCAGACTCGTCCGATAGGAATGATTCTAGGATCGTCGCGTAAGGAAGTGTTGCTGGACGCCACGGTCGTGGATCCGTTTTCGCCGGAAATTGGGAATGAATTGTCCAACCCGCACGTGGTGGCTGATCACTTCCGGGCATCAGTGTGCACTTGATGCTACGAGTGACTGCATGTGATCTATATTCAGGATTGGATCCGCAAAAAAACATTCCTCGATTTGTGATAGTTTGTGATTTTCTGCACTGTTGGGAGTGTGATTCTTGCCGTATCGAAAAATGGTTGATTTGATGAATGCAGAGATGGAGTTGCCATAATTTTCAACTGTGGTGTGGGAATGAAGGAAAAGCCTCCTTTTATTTCACTCGTGACTCGAATGTCGCATTACTGCGGTTTCCGTTACAAAAGAGGCTAAGTGCCCGGAAAAATAGTGTGTGCCCAAGAAAAAGGGTCCATGAAAACTCTAATATGGTATATTGGAAAGATCGAATTACTGTAATTCGAAATCAATTTTTCCTGAGAAATCGCCGCGAAAAGAAGTGAACGGAACCTACGTCGATGATTTCATGAAAACAAAAGTATTTCCTGGCGAAGGATTTTGTGCTTTCGCACAATTTATTGACGTTTTATTACGTCTTTCCGTCCTTATACTTCTCGTTTGGAATTCGTTTGAAACTGAATTCAAAATGCTCCCACGGTAACTTGTTCGCACTTTCTGCAGCCAAGTATCCTGCTGGGTTTTGTGTCAAACGCACGACTCGTGCGGTAATATTGGTCTGCGAATCATCGTGCTTGCTGGGAGGAAGCCCTGATGCTCCAGCAGTTGAGAACACACAGCTGATGATGAAAAACCTCGAGATTCCGCGCGTTGCAGCAAGGAATAGTCGATGTGTCTACAATTGGATCATGTCTGTTGCGATTGTGGTTCCATTTAATCATACATTAACTAGTTATTAACTGAGATAACTGATGGGTATTCATCGTGTGTACAATCACCTGATAAACCTACGACATGTAACTCGCGAGCATTTCGTGGCGTGAGACGAGTAACTCGGTTGGAACCTTCAGTGTTCATGATTCGATGGACGTGATCAGCAGTTGAGGATGTCGACGCCCTGTGCAACGAGGGAACGAAGCATCCAAAATGACTTCATTTACAAATGGCTGAGTCTTGTTGCTTTGACTATTCAGCAAGTTCTGGCCACGTCCCTTCTGCGTCATGCCCAGTCCAGGTGAGTCGGCAGTCTGGTGCTGATGGCAGGCGCGGTGGGTTTCTAATGGCGCGTGAATGTAGGCATGAGAATGAGGACGACTTGTTCCATTCGTCGGCGGGAGTCGCGACTGTAGAGGTGCAGAAGACCTTGGCTGCCTTGCTCCTCTTGAGATTTTCAGAGCATGCCAGTTTCGAAGAAACCTTCGATGTACTGAAGGAGATGACCAGCGAGGATTTCGACTCGCTGCTTACGGTTGCGCTCGTGGCTGGCGCGTATTTGTTGCACAACTACTTCCTGTGGATCGCCGGGAAGTACTTGTCCACGGCTGCTTACCTGGTCATCAGCCAGACGAAAACCCTGTCGGCCGCCTTTTTCGCCACTGCCCTGGCGGGTAGGATCATCACTGTGACCCAGTGGATTGCCTTGTTTGTCTTAGTCATCGGCGTGGCCTTATTGCAGGTATACTCGTCTCTTGTATGAAGCATATTGCTTTCGAAGGACATCTATATATATATGCCGTTTCTCTCTGTACCCTATGTGCATTTATCTTTCACGAAATTGACCTACAGTATTTGCACATACGGCATAAACTATATACACACCCACCGCCCAACAGTAATATGTTGAACCTCTGATGCATGACGGATCGTTTTTTTTTTTCTCTGTGCCTCTCTCATCTGTCACGGCGCAGACCAGCGTCCATCAGCAACAGGCAGACGAGATGAAAAGGGCGGATGATGTTTGGTTGGGGTTGGTTTACCTGCTAGGGGCTAGCACTTTGTCCGGCTACGCGGGGACCGCCTTTGAGATCATTCTCAAATCTCCGACGAGTAACGTTTCTGTGTGGGCGCGAAGTGTTCAACTCAGTGCGGTTTCCGCCGTCATGAGCATCGCCTTGGTTGCCTTCCAAGAGTACGATTCCGTCGCGCGTAGAGGATTTTTTCACGGGTAATTAATGCAATATTCCTCCTCCTACTGTATAATCGCGCAGATTGGATAAATAATCCACGATTGACACGACGAGAAGCAGCATGTATATAATACCTATTCTGCCTTTCCTGATTCTAGGTACGACGCCGTGGTGTGGACAACTGTAACTGCTCAAGCTTCGGGAGGCCTGCTGGTTGCCCTGAGTCTGAAGTACGCCGATAATGTCGCCAAAAGCTTCTCCACAGCAGTGGCCATTCTCTTGAGCATTGTTACAGACGCACTTGTGTTCCACACGTCCTTGCCATTCCATGCGCAGATCGGTGCAGTACTTGTTGTTCTATCAATCGTAGCCTATAATAATTCACGGGCTCATCATTGAATAAAGCAATCGTAATTTCCGTTTCTGACGCATCACCGCTTCTCCTTTCTTTGTTTTCTGTCAGCGCCAACACTAATAATCATGTCGTATACTGCGCATTAAGGTGGATATCCATTCGATTTCATTCCTGCTTTATCTTTCAATCTCATCGCATACCACGCGACTGTTTCAAATAACTACAGCATAACTTCGACGGCGACTTTCACTAGATGGAATTCATGTCAGGCTATCTCGCGCGTGTCTCTTGTGCCCCGGGCTACAATGCGTCATTCGACGATTGAGGGGTGGCAGGCATGCAGGGCATACTCCCCCTGAAGGAGGATAGTCCACATCCATGGAGTGCGATTCTGCGCAGAGGCTTTTCTGCAGTGAGAACACAGGCATTGCTGATGGTTCCTTCCACAGAATTCAGAGGAAAGTTTATTTCCACAGTGATTCTTGAAGCGGCATTCACTTTGGCAAAAATAATGATGAATTCTGCGGAAATATATTTTAACAAGAGGCCTTGTACAGACCATGATGGCACACAATGGGTGCAAAGTTTATTATGAGGAGTTAAAGCATGCTGGTAAAAAAATGTTTGATAATGAATGCAACTAGAAAATACAACCAGACCAATATTTTACCATGCTTTAACTGTATACCACCTACCCTACACTATCATGAATGCAACTATATGAAAGATAACAAGAACACTAGCTTTACAGTTGAACCTCTGTAAGTCAAATTTTAGGGACCAGGAAAAAGAGTTGACTTAAGGAGGTTTCCAGTTAAGGAAACTTACACTTTTGTTGTTAGGAGAGGTAAAAAGAGTGTGGGACATTGTAAATAAGGATATTCTGGGCCTAAACTTACTCCTTGTATAATGAGTTTACACCTTGCTGAACTTGGAGGCAGGGGCTCATTTGCTCCATTATATAGTCTTTCAATTCCTTTCAAGGAGCATTAAATCATTTGTTTTAATGATTTTCTTTTTCATATTTCAAGGAAATAATAACCAGAAGTCTTCAGAAAATTTGAATTACAGAGGTTTTAGAGAAAAGACTTTGAGGTAGGGAGGTTTTTAATGCATTGATTCTTAGGGGATTCAGACAGGGACTTGAAACAATTTGACTTAGGGAGGAATTTGACTTGACTTATTGAGGTTCACCTGTGCCATGCACGCTTCAACATCACCTCAATTGTAATAAACTCTCTGCATACATTCAGTGACATATTGGTCTATAACAAGGCCTCCTGTAAAAATTTATTTTGGCAGAATTCAAAATCTGTTTGCCACAGTAAGCTTGCTTTAAGAATCACCATGGAATTAACTTCCCCTAGATTTTGTTGAATGAACTACGGCATGAGTGTTCTCCATGGAACTTCACTCCACGGATTTGAGTAGACCCGCCGGAAAGCATAGCACACACTGGAGTATCCTGCCTAGGTAGGGTGTACTCCTGGAGTATGATTTTGGGTGCGGTTTTTGGGGGATGCTGTGCCTGGACGGTACAGTGTATTCCCCCAAAATCTTACTCCAGGAATACACCCTACCTAGGCAGAGCAGTGTACTCCAGTGTGTGCTATGCCGTCCGGCGGGTCTATTCAAATCTGCGGAGTGAAGTTCCATGGTGAATGCATGCAGTATAGTTCTTTCAACAAAATTTGCAAAGGAGAGCCAATTCCATGGTGATTCTTGAAGTGGCATTTACTCTGGCAAACAAATTTTAAATTCTGCCAAAATACATTTTCACATGAGGCATTGTTATAGACCAGCATGATGGCAAAAAAAATGTGTGCCAGTTTCAGCTGAATCCCAATAAATAACAGTGCAAGTGTCAATTCACGTTTCAATTCAAATGCAGTCACTAATGAACTTGGATCAAGGATGAAACAGACTAATGGTAAGGCTGAGGATAGCATACCCCAACATAGGAACAATGGGGTTGTTGAATAATTGGGGTAAAGAGGATTCATTTTTGAGAACCACACATGGATGCTGCTGATTCCATGTGTTTTTCTTAGCAACATCTATAAGGGCATCGTTTTGCGCGTGGCTCCCCCAAAGTGGGATAACTCTGTATAAGGCCTCCTGTAAAAACAGATTTTAGCAGAATTCATAATTATTTTTGCAAAAGTAAACCGCTTTAAGAATCATTGTGGAATCAACTTTCCTCTGAATCTGTGGAAGAAACCACTCTTCAAGTGCTCACTGCCAAAAAGCCTCTGCAGAATCGCACTCTGCGGATGTGGACTAATCCTCCTGCACAGGGGGAGTACACTGTGCCTGCTGGGGAGTATGCCCTGCCTGCCACACCATCCAAAGCGGCACCACATGCTTAGTTTGCTTACACATGCACTCTGCCTATGCGGTACAGTGAAGTTGCGTTCGGTACAGTACAATGTTGTCCTGACAACGAATGAGGTGTCGGGCATTTTTAAGGTGTACTTTTGGTTTCAAACATCTGGAAGAAAAAGACTAGCAGATAGGTGAAAAATTACTCTCACGTCAAATGTGGACGCCCACATGAGTAATTGATCCGCGGAAACGTTTTCTCGCAGGAAAAACCAAGGTAACGAATAAATTTCGTCGCTTAAGCAAAGTATCGTATTTTATGGTTATAGAAACAGCTTCGCAACTTTCAGAATAATTTACGAGTGCATCGTGCATCTATCGTATTTTGACCAGGAGATCAGTATGGTTTCTGTTCTCAGTGTAACCACCTGAGATTAGGCTTCCCGTGCTGTCACGGCCATCTTGGCAGCGTTACCTTTCAAGGATATTTTCTCTGTGGGTTTTCACGTTTTGTCTTGAATCTGAGATGTGACTCGCTTATTTAACAGAATTTGTGTCTAGTCCATGCTTTCCCGGATTCTTACCTTTCTCTTCACTGGATTATTACGTGAGCTAACCACATGAAGATCTAAGCTCATGTGCTGCTATTCTGGAATAGTCTAGCAGAAAATGTCTGTCATGGCGTACCTGATCACTTCCAGTAATGGGATCATGGTTGACCTGGCGTATGCCTTGTGAAGTAAATTCTCCATATCTGAATTTATTTTTGCGGCTTATGCATTGTGAAGTGCAGTATCCGGAATACTTACGTCCAGTGGAAGCCTAGGTAATTCTGTGAGACTTTAACTAAGTGTTCTGGATAAGTTCGTATTTCGCGAGCCGGCTCGTTGAATTTTTCTGCTGAATAGCAGAGATTTATCTCCGTAAGTTACCCAGGTTGTTCGTGATAAAATCTTGCTTGGGGCTTAACGTTTTGCGCTATTCAACGAGTGCTTCGCGTTGGAAAGGTTGATCGAACGTCGATCGGCACTGTTCAAGTGTGTTCAAATATTTTCAGAAGGTGGAAATATTCGGTAGTATTCGTCATCGGCCTTAATCATGACGTCTCAAATTTCGAAGAAAAGGAAGGTGAGTGCCTCGTTGTGTTCGGGGTTTACGTGAGTCCTACATCCGATTGATGGTCATTTTACAGTTCGTCGCCGATGGTGTCTTCAAGGCGGAGTTGAACGAATTTCTAACTCGAGAACTCGCCGAGGATGGTTACAGCGGCGTGGAGGTAAGTTACGTTGCTTAAAATCGTGAGGAATCATGAGTAGACGGGTTTTTCATGTGAATAGGTTCGTGTCACTCCAACCCGTACGGAGATCATCATTTTGGCCACCAGAACGCTTAATGTGCTCGGAGAACGTGGTCGTCGAATCCGCGAACTGACTTCCGTTGTGCAGAAGAGGTTTGACTTTCCCGAAAACTCGGTTGAGTTGTACGCCGAAAAGGTGGCCACTCGCGGTTTGTGTGCCATCGCTCAAGCTGAATCTCTCCGATACAAGCTGATCGGAGGTCTTGCTGTGCGACGGTAAGTGGCACTTGCTTAATCTGAATTCGTTTCTTTTTATTTAATTTATTTTTTCAGAGCATGCTACGGGGTCCTCCGTTTCATCATGGAGAGCGGTGCCAAGGGCTGCGAAGTGGTTGTGTCAGGCAAGCTTCGTGGTCAGCGAGCGAAGTCGATGAAATTCGTTGACGGGCTTATGATTCACAGCGGTGAGCCGACGAACGATTACGTCGACACTGCAGTGCGTCACGTTTTGCTTCGTCAAGGTGGGGATGACCGTTGTATTGCCGGCTGTTGTCTTGGTTTAACTGGTTGAACGAAATATGTTTCAGGTGTGTTGGGTATTAAGGTGAAGATCATGTTGCCGTGGGACCCGAACGGCAAGGACGGCCCGAAGCATCCATTGCCAGACAATGTGGTCATCGCTGAACCTAAGGAAGATGTCATCCCCGATGGCTCTTATTTCCCGAAGCCTCCAGTCGCGGAAGCATCGAGTGTGAAGCCGGAAGAAGCGTGAAATTAGTTTGCGGTGTAAGAGTGACCCTCCGGTAACGGGAGATTAAAAATCACGCGGATTGATGCCTTGTGTTTGTCCTCTCAGTTTCTGTCCTTTGTGTTGTTCTCACGAGTCTCGGGGAATGAATTAACTCGATTTTCTGCGTGGGGTCTGAATAGTCTTTCAGGTTAGCTCGTCGATATGCGTAAGGATCGTTGTGTGATGTGACTGCCCAGATTGGCGCTCGCGACCATGGGAGGATTACTGAGTTATTTCAAGGGTTTGTTCGGCAGCAAGGAGATGCGCATCCTCATCCTAGGTTTGGATGGAGCCGGAAAAACGACGATACTCTACAGGTTGGTCTGTTTTCTTAGTTCGTGAATTTTGCGGAACTGACCCGTAGGCTCGGAATTTCAAAAGGTTGCAGGTTGGAGAAGTCGTGACGACGATACCAACGATCGGATTCAATGTGGAGCAGGTGACATACAAAAACCTCAAGTTTCAGGTTTGGGACTTGGGAGGACAGACGAGCATACGACCGTATTGGCGGTGCTATTATTCCAATACGGATGCAATTATCTACGTGGTTGATTCCGCGGATAAGGACAGGATAGGAATATCCAAAGGAGAACTCGTGTCCATGCTCGAGGTACGGGTCTCTGGTTTCGTTTAGCCTTTTCCTCGATTGCATGGCTTTCCTGACGGAACTTCGAATTGTGTTGTGGATATGATTCGGGGTGAACGATGCGGATTAATGCACGATTTTTGTTTCTCTCTTTTTTTTGTACAAGTGTTGACGAATTCCTAACGTATTGCACTGCTAATTTTGTAATGGTCTTTCGCATTTGGATTTGTATTTCAACGCAAAACGTTTCTGCTCGTCACGTCAGTCTCCTATTCTGCCTCCCCCACCCCCTCGGGGGTTTGTGCGAAAAACTCGCCAGCTTGTACATTTAGGGCTCACCATAGAAAACATTCCCGTAACATCAGATTGTGGGATTGAATTCTCCGCAGCTGTTCGTTGTCTGGTTGTGTCCTTTCTGAAGTATAGAGTGCTTTGATGCTTGCAGGAGGAGGAGCTGAAGAACGCAATTCTCGTGGTGCTGGCGAACAAACAAGACATCGAAGGAGCCCTGAGCGTGGCCGAGGTCCATTCTGCCCTCGGACTGGACGCGCTCAAGACGCGCACTTTCCAGATTTTCAAAACATCCGCGCTCAAGGGCGACGGCCTGAATCAAGCTATGGAGTGGTTAGCCAATGCTTTAACTAACCGCAAGTGATAAGCGTGATTGATGCATAGGAGAGGGAGCACCAGTGGTGGCGTATTCAGTCCGGGGTCATGGAGCCAGTCCCTCGTTTTCCGAAGAACGAAGGAAAGGGAGAAATTCGTGGCACTCGAACCCGCAAGAAGGTGAAGCGGGGAAGACAAGGGAGTGGCACGGTGTTCGATCCCGAGCTTGAGGAATCCACCATTTGTCTTCTTTTTTTTTCCGGGGTGTGCGAACGAGTTGCAAAGGGAGCACTCACAACACGAGCCGAAAGTTATATTTTCTTGTTTTTGTTTCTTGGTGTTCGTGCCTGTTTTAGTTCGTCTTTTTTTTTATTTACTGTTAATTTTCACCATCCTGAAATCGCCGGATGCTTTAGCTTCGTAGCCGATCAATTTTGGTGTCTTGCGCATGTCGTCTCAAGCGTACTCAAAAGATGGAAAGAGAGAGTACAGTGTTATCGCCTGTGAATGAATCGGATTTTGACTGACTCATTTCAAATTGGAAGACGGAATCCTTCAGCCCTTGCTAGTCTCTTGTCAAGTGAATTACCCCTAGAGGAGATTTTGCTTTATCGTGATCGGGAAAGTCGTTGTCATTGATGTTTGGTTTGTTTGTTGTTTTTTTTTCTCGCTTGAATTCGTGTGTCCGCGGGTGATGAGTTGCGTGAAGAGCACAAGGCTGCACTCGTGTGGGTAAGGAAGGAATTGTTCTCTTGGCGCAGGTTTTCGTTCCTATTTTGAAATTATTTATTGACTTGGGGAGGTGAAAATGGAAGAGAGCTGTCACTTGAGTTTTTGAGAATATTTTGCTAAAGCTTTCTTTGGTGAAATACAAACCGTGAATTATCGAAGGTTGCTTTGGGAATTTCGGCCACTCGTCCAATTTCTTGAACTGGTCTTTTTTTTCTTCGTCTCCGGTGTTCCGGTATTATGGACAGTATGTTTCTGACAGTCGCAGGAAGTAAGATGTGAACCTAGTGGACAGGCTTTCTTCTCGCGCCTTTCGATTCTTGGCGATGGATTCTTACCTCAAGTTGAGCAGCTCGTGTGCTGGTAGAGACAAGATTTTCAGGTTCGTCGAAAGACTCGCGTCTCATGAAGCATTATCACATGTGTTTTCCATTGCTTTGTCAAGACTGCTGCAGTACTCGAGCAAGTTCTTGGGAGCGGCTTTGAATAATGGTCGTTGGAGTAATGAAAAGGCAGTGAACCAAATCAAGTTGCTGGAAAGTGCAATGAGCTTGTTGCGGAAAGGTGAGCGACGACCTTCCTTTCTTGCTCCTTCATTCGTGTGTTGAGGCCAATCGTGAGTTGGGCATGGGCAGCAGCAACGAAGCGTCCGCAGCCTGCTTGAAAGGAAGCGGGCAATGGCGATGATCTTATAGTCGCGGAGTTGAGTTGTGGCAAACGCTGCGGCTCAAGTGACTTGCCGGCTCATCGCGATATTTGATACGAGGGAATGGGATTTCACGATTTCATCTTCAATTCCGGAAGGACAGCTTTGCGGATTGATTTTTCATTATAATTTTTTGAAATTTTCGTTCTTTGAGAAGGGAAGAACTCTTGTGCCCTTCAGTCACCATTATTCGAAAGTCGCTAGTTGGGAATATTCTAAAACCCAAGGTATCCAGGAATGGGTAATATTTTGCATCTCTGATTCCGGAACAGGCACTTCAGTAGAAGCACAATGAAAACATGAAGTATTGGTTTGAAATTGCGGGTTACGGTATTTCAATTGATCATACAATATTCGTAGAGCGATGGAGCGCATTACTGTATTTATGAGAAAAAAGAGGGAAATATGAAGTGCTTTTTTTGAGTCAGACTGCATCATTTGATTCTAAGTTCACAGGAAGAAGCGCTTAGAATTGTATCCTTGATTTTCCGAGTGAAGAAGAACTTCTGTTTCATGCTTGTTGATTTTGTGCGCCATAATTTTGGTTTCCGAGAAGGATGCGGATGCAATGAGAATTAGTATGTTAAGTGTCCAGAAATTTAGTTATATTTCAAGCTGTGTATTCCTGGTCTTGTACGGTACTCTGCACATACTCAGATGATACTTTCCCCAAAAGAAAACTTTGAGAAACGTCGTTTTGTCTCAAGAGCGTGAATGTACTGTATTTCAATCAGATTTTTGCAATTCTGGTTCATTTTACGAGGATTGTCCGACTTGGGCGCGACCTTGGTTATTTCTAGAGTAGGTATGAAAAAAAGTTCTAAATGTGGCCTATGATGTAAGGCTCTGGGATTTTTTTTTTTCTATTTGGAGAAAAGTTTCAAATTGATTGCATGATAAGTGAAAACTTTCCAGTTACTGATGGAGTTCTCCATCCATGTCACAGGGTGACAAAAATGTTCAGGCTACCTGAAAATTGAAGTGTCCATGTCTTCTTTTTTTTAGATTATGGTGAAAATTAAACTGAAAATTCATTTTGAGCTGGCCTCATGAGCTTTTAGCGCTGTATGACATGGATAAGTCATCATTGGCTACATGATGCTTTTTTCACACTCACGCCTACTCCGGAATCAATCAAGGTTTTGTCCAAGTTTCGTATGAAATGATGTAAAATGAACAATATTCAATTCCCGCCCACCAAAGAATGTGTAAGTCTGATTTCCGAATAAGATTTTGGTGGTCATTAAAACCTAGGCGAAAATGGCCATGAGATTGAACCTTGAACTGCCCATTGGAAACTAGACTGCGACCAGCAGTACTGTACTGCATATTGTGTTGTCAGCTTGCACTGAAGGTGGTACGAAGAGGGAATCGAGAAAGAGGAAACGTTATTGAAGAGATCCTCACTGCGAATGTCGTCTTTTTGCTCTTATTGGTGTGCAGTAATTCATATAGGAATGATTTAAAGCCATTGGGTCATGGGCATATGCTATACTGTATACAGTACTGTAGTTCAGAGGTGTAACCTTAGCTTCCTGAATGAGTTTGCATACATGCAGAACTTTTAGATGTGAATGTACGCTTGTTATTTTCCTGTGTTGATGCGATGAGCTGCCTTTTGCAGCACTGCACTGTCTACAATAACTGCTCTGCTGGTGTATGGGTTAGCCTCATTGCGTGTGTACCGTGTAGGTTTGCGACTTGGCAAGAGCCTGGACGTGTTGCAGGGCGCCGTCGGGACGATGCGATTGCGGGATCCGGCTGTGAGGACGACGACGACGGTGTCGAGGATCCAACAGGCCCTGTATCTCCTGGCGGACAATGTGTTGTGGGCAAACCGCGTTGGGCTCGTCCGCTTGTCCAACGAGTCCAAGGCCTCGTGGCTGGACCGGTGTAACCGTCTGTGGCTCTGCTTCCTGCTGGCCAACTTGGCGCGTGACTTGTACGAGGTGAAGAGCATCGTGCGTGGGCGATGTGAGTTGCTGGACAAGGCCGAGCCGGGATTGCGAGTCGCCCTGTGTGCGCCGCCGACGTCGTTGGCCCTCGTGCGACACCTGGTGTGGAATCACGGGGACGTGGCGGTGGACCTGGCCAAGAACTTGTGCGATATCCTCATCCCGCTCGACGCGCTCGGCTACGTCCGTCTCCCGCCGGGGCTCGTCGGCATCTGCGGCGCCGTCTCTTCTGCCCTGGGCCTCTTGGCCATCGTGGATCCCGTCTACAAGCTGAATCCAGCATAATCAATCAGACAACCAACCATCGATTGTTCTTTCTTTTAGCGCCAGTATATCAATTGTGGGTGGTATTTTGTATGCATTCGGGGACTCTGGTGATACATGGATTCATCTTACCTGTTGGTCGATCGGTCGGTCCGTCTGTGAATTTACTGTTGTTATAACATTCCATGATGCGGCAGTTAAAGCTATAGGAGCGACATCTGCTGTGATCTTTTGTGTGCAAATAGTCACAATGGTGTTCCAAATGTTTGTCGGACAAATCAAGTCTCCCAAAGGTTGTGGGGGTCAACAGGAAAGGCTGCTCAACAGTTGTTCTCATTATTGATATCCCTCTGTCTCTCTCTCTCTCTCTGCTGATGACCTACTGTACATACTGCTTGATTTTGGGGGTGGGGAATTCACTTAGGTTTTTCAGCATGAACAGTGCCGCGTGCAACGTGTGCTTCAACAAGTTCGGCTTCTTTTCGAGTCCGGTGAGTTGGTCGGGTGATGTGTCGGGGCCAGAGTGATTCGAAACTCTTTTTTTTTCCCGTTGGCAGAAAGCATGCGTGGATTGCGGCCGGCCAGTGTGCAGGGATTGCTACAAGAAGCCCAAGGGAGTCGTCGGCTTTGACGACATCTGCCTCGGCTGCTACGAGAAGGAAGCGCTCAAGACGCAGGTGCCGAACGACGCTGTTGAGGCGCCGGCAGCGCTGACGAAGCGACTGCGCGCACTTGCGGATCCGAATGCACCGCCACCGGTCGTCGTCTACTGCGACAACCGCTATTCCCAGTTGAAGCGCGGCCTCTCCAAGGAGGATGCTGAAATTGTCAACAGGTCATTCATTCTAGTTGAAGGAGAACAGCGAAATCTGATTCTCTTGACTTTTTATTCTCGAGCCGTCTGTCTGTGTCTGTTTTCTTGAAATTGGGATTTTGTGTCTCTGCGTTTGCAGACTTGCCAAGTTGCAGGAGGGAAGGACGACGACGAGGAGTCAAGTAACGGATGACATGATTGCCGAGCGTTTGCAGAGATTGCGCTCTGCAACCCCAAGTGATTGTGACCACGAAAGCGTAACGTATCTGTCTGTTTTTTTGAAATGTCGGGCTGTCTGGACAATCTGGTAACATAGTCTACGCTGGGGTTGAATTTAGGACATACCCTTGTCCAACAAACGACAGCCTGCGCCCGTGTTACCAGAAACCGCCGAGGATTTGATCAAACGCGTGACGGAAGAGGTCAACATTGATGCTTCTTGCCAGCAGAAAGCCAAGGACCATGTGGAGGATATTGCCAAACGATTGCGACAGCTTGGACGTGATGATGTGGGCGAGAACATCCACGGCGATTCTCGGAGTTGTCGGACGAGTGATAGTGGTGCGATTGATTCTCTGATCTTGGACGAGGATGTAGAGGCTGTGGCTGCCAGGGTGTGTAAACAATTTGATAGCATTTTGGCGTATGATTGAGGATCTTGAATGAATAGTGCATGAAGGGGTAGGGTGTGTACAAAGCCCTGTACTTTTACCTTATGATATTCTCGATTACTGTCTTTTTCACTTAGTACGTGGCAGAGGCCGAATTGGAAAAGGCGACCCGAATGCGGGACACGCAAGAGGAGATGAAATACGATAGTGGCGGCGAAGAATTGCCGTTCTGCACAATTTGTAACGAAGACGCGACGATCCGTTGCATCTCTTGTCAGCACGAGGGTGATTTCTGTCTGTTTTGCGTGTCGTGCTTCCACGACATGCACGATGACGACGACGAGATGAAGAGACATCGGATCAAAGCTTACAAAGGGGGGGATTGATTGATTGATTTCTTGCCTTTATTTTGAATGAATGATGTGCTTTCCTTCTCTGATTCATGTGAATGGCTGGCTGAAGTATTCTATAGATGAAGAGACATCGGATCAAAGCTTACAAAGGGGGGGATTGATTGATTGATTTCTTGCCTTTATTTTGAATGAATGATGTGCTTTCCTTCTCTGATTCATGTGAATGGCTGGCTGAAGTATTCCAGGCTTTGCATGTGAAGAACTCGCCCTATTTGATGAAATTCAAATATTTATTTTTTTGCTTGTGTGACACTGGATTTCTGGACAGATCAGCAGTGAAAAAATATAATAAAGAATAAATTCAAAGCAATAAAAGAAAGACTAAATTTTTTTCTTTCATTTTCTTTTTGGTTGGACTCCGTCAATTCAAACATTTCCTTTCCTGTATGTGTTTCAGGTGCCCCCTGTTGCGGTGATGCTGGCGGCACAAGTGTGGGCAGTGACGAGTTCCGGTCCGTGTTGCCCTCGGCTGTGAGCGATTGGTCGTCTGTGTTCTGTTTGGATGAGCCCGGGCACATTGTACGTGGTGAGTTCGTGGTTGGCGCATTGCGTGTGTTGTGTTTCCCTCCCATTTAGTCAGTCAGTCAGTCTCTGCATGAACTTGTGTCGTGTTGCCGTGAATTCTGCAGCATGCGCCACGCGTGGAGTGGAGTGGAGTGTTCGTGGTTGGCGCATTGCGTGTGTTGTGTTTCCCTCCCATTTAGTCAGTCAGTCAGTCTCTGCATGAACTCGTGTCGTGTTGCCGTGAATTCTGCAGCATGCGCCACGCGTGGAGTGGAGTGGAGTGAGTGAGCGAGCAAGATAAGGGTTTTCTCGTCACTATGCGCTTGCCCCACATTGTTCGTTCATTCGTCGAGTCTCTTTTTGATTGGCCAGGTTGGCATGGTCGTACAGGTCGGCAGTGGCGGAAGATGGCTGTCTCGTGCGACGTGTGCTCATGATGCCCGTACTGCCCCGCCGCCGGCTCCTGTCGCTGCACTGGAAGCTGGTGTTGGCGGCTGCCGGCAACCAGTTGTGTGTTGTTCGCCAGACGTTGGTCGGACTGCGGCCCCGATCCTCGCAGACTCCAGATCGGGACAGTGAAAGCGCAATGCTCAAAGGAGCAGGAGTAGGAGGAGGCCGAAGACGGCGAGGAGAAGGCCTGCTGCTCAGGGGCAGCCGATGGAAGTGGAAGCGCTACTGGACGGCCTTGTCTGTGCTAGTGGCCAACGTGCTCGGCTATTTGCTCTACTTGCAATTTCAGGACTCGTTCGTCGAAGAGGAGGACGAGGAAGAAGAGGAGACTGCGTTGACTGCTGTGCCCGTGGGATTCTGGGTGAGAATACCTCCCTGTGGAAATGAGGATGTTGTTGGTCTATGAGAGTCTCTTTGTCTGTCTGCATGTCTTCTGTCATTCAGCAAAAATGCATGATGGCCTTACCCTGGCGGCATTTGTCTCGGGGCTGGGGCTACTTCCACTCAGTGGAGCTGCCCCCGTTTTTGCAGCCCGTGCTGATCGGCGGCTACGCAAAAATTACTGGCTGTGACCTGGACGAGGCGGCGGACTCGGACTACTCGCACTATCGCAAAATTGGCGACTTTTTCAAGCGGGCACTCAAGCCGGGCTGCCGACCAGTGGATGAGACTGCAGCACTGGTGAGTTGTGGTGGTGTTGGTGATGATGTCTATGTCTTTTTCGGGCGAAAGGCAATGTCAACGGCGTTGAGTCATTTTGTGCCCCCCCCCC